TGTTCCTTCAGGAGAATCGAAAATACGCCATGTACAAGAACATGAACTGCAATGAGATCTGTAACACGTATGGGAAATTGTTCGGTGACGCGGGGGATTCCACCAAATACGCATTGTCCCCATCAAAGTTATCACAACGAGGATTCGATTTGGGCACAGATAGCGATAAGGATGATGGGGGTGACAAGTTGCCCATCAATGCTGAAGGTACAGATTCCAGTGACAGTCCGGTCGCCTGTAGAGCATACTTGTCCATGAACATATCCGAGAATTGCAGCGGAGATAAAAGGAAAAGCAGACAGGGGAAGGACAAAGGAAAGAGGAAAAAATACGGTGCGAGAGAGGTTTCAGCATCTCTTGAGCAGGTGGTGAGTGTTGGAACGGATCTTGCCTCCATTGCAAGATCGCATCAGAAGGACGATATGTCTATCGACGACTGTGTGAGCAAACTACTATCGTCAGGACACGTGGAGGAGGGGTCGCCACTCCATATGTTTGCTTTGTGATTCCTACATTTCAAGGATAATCGAAATTCGTACTGTGCTGCCAATAGACATAAGGGGTGATCGATAGTGGACCTATTTATGCACTGTGGTCTGTATTTCTTCTGCTTATTCATATTTTTCGTTCTTGTGTGATGGACATTTTTATTTTTTCATGTATTTTTTTTTTTTTGCAGACAGATTGTCATTGTGGATTTCAATTGAACTGCCACTACAAATCTGAATTGCACAACAATTCATGCATGCTTGGAAATTGTGTGCTTTTGTAGGGAATATATTCCATGCAAAAGCATGATAAAGTATGTGGGAAGTTGTATATTCCCTGCAAAAGTATGATAAAGTAGGTGGGAATTTGAAATGATGGGGAGAACATTGTCCAAGGGTTCATGAGTAGTTAAGTTTTCTATAAATTAGTTTGGAGTCCCATTCAACTGCTCAAACGTAGAGATGTTGATAGGATGGGAAGGCTAGTGTAAGAAACCCAAACAATAGTTAGCATTTCTTACGAAATTTTTTTCGGGTTGCCTTCCCGTTCGAAGTCACAACCTTCATACATTTATATCACCAATCATAAAATTATTTTTCATGGCGGCCCACTCAGCACGTACGTATGCATTGGAAGCAACAGATGGTGACATCGAGCATATGTCTGATTGGGATATGAGTTCTGATGAAGATGTGTTGCAGCAGTTGGAGGAGGACATAATCACGTGGCTGGAGTATTGTGGAATTGCTGAGCACATTGTGCGCGATTACTTGGCACCAAATACCGCTCGTCGGTATTTGTTTCCGACAACGCGATGCGATCACATTTTCATGTTACAAAATATTCACGTTTATCCACAAACGTGTTTTCAGGAGTTCAGGATGTATCCTTCGATGTTTATGCACTTCACGCATATTCTGCGAGATGAATACGGAATGTCGAGCAGCGCAAACATAGATGTGTACGAGCAAGTCGGCATGTTCTTGTGTATACTGGCGCATGGGAAAGGATATCGGCAGGTGCAAACTCTATTCGGGCATTCGTTGCAGACCATATGTCATTATTTTAAAAAGGTCCTTCGGGCATGCCTTGCGTTCAACATGAACATGGTAAAACCAGATTCGAGGTACAACGAAAGCGCATGTCACATACACTAATAAAAATACGATAAATGCAAAATTCTTGCAATACATGTGACAGTCACTGTGTAGAGAGATTTTTTTTGTTTTTTTATTTCACACTGTACGAAGAGTTTGTCAACTCTCCGCACCGTGCGAAATTTTTTTTTTGCTTCACACTGTACGGAGAGTCCGCACTTTGAGGATAATGTCCGCATAGAATGTAATCTCTTCGCACCGTGCGAAGAGATTTTTTTTACTTCACACTGGTTTATCATCTCTCCGCACTATGCAGAAAGTTTTTTTCTTCAGTTTTTACTTTCCACATGATTTGCCATCTCTCTGCAGTGTGCAGAGAGTTTATTTTTATTTTTTTAAAACTCATATGCGAAAAGTTTTTTTGTTTGTTGCTCAAGGCAGTTTATGTTTACTATAATTATTATTATTATTATCTTTTTAATGCTAATGACATGATGTGTGAAAGAACATTTGTTTGACATAATTTTTTTAATGCTAGTGACATGATGTGTGGAAGAATATTTGTTTGACATAAAAAAAAAAATGACATCATGCATAGTAAAATTAGATTCATTTACCACTGCATGAATAGTATACCCTCCTTCCACGTTTTATTAGAAGTTAGATAATTAAATCGTGTAATTAATCGAATATTTTTTTTATTGTTCAATATCCAATCGATTTAATGAATTTTTTTATTTACGTGTAATATTATTTTATGGAAGATTCTGCAATTGAAAATAAAAAGAGAGAAAAATAAGAAAAAAAATTTAACGTAGCCAAACACAAGTTGAGCCACAGTATAATATTTTGTCACTTAAATGGGGTTGCGATTTTTATTTAATCACCCAATTTTGATATACTTGAATTTAATCCTCCAAAATTTATATACACCTAAAATACTCAATATCGTCAAATAAATTAATCGACATCTTTCGGACTTAGTATTAAATTTTTTCAACATTGTGTTAAGTTTTTACTTTGATTTATCGCAAATACTTTTAAGAAATAAATAATATGCATGATTTAATATACTCCGTGTCACGTTATATAAAAGTAAAATAGATTTGTATAAAATATATATCAATCACAAAGGAAAAAAAGAAATTATATTGAGAAATTGTCGCGAAAAAATAATAAACATTAACAAAATAATGATTTTTTTTTAAAATGACGAATTATACGCATTTTTTTAACACACACGTTTGATATACGTTTAATTATTTTCAATTTTCATTTAGATAATTCAATGTATCTATTATATAGTTCTCGAAATATACTTCGAGATAATATAGAAGATTTATAAAGATCTATGATAGATTTTTATAAAAAAAAATATACTAAATAAATCACCTAGTAAAAAAAAAAGAAAAAAATTGACACAAAAAGAATCCATCACCCAATAAAAAAAATAAAAAATTGACACTGAGCATCATCTAAAAAAAATAAAAATGCTAATGCTCCGTGATGCATGGAGCAAATTGCTCCTGGGTTGCTCCTAGCACTGTGGAGCAAGGAGCCAGGAGCAAAATTGCTCCACGTGCGGAGTTGTTTTATTGGTTATTTTTTGTGTGTCAAAATTTTTTTTTACACCAGATAATTTATTTAGTTTTTTTTTATAAAAATCTACCATAAATCTTCTATATTCTCTCGAAACTTATTTCAAGAATTATATCATAAACATATCGAATGATTTAAATGAATATCGAAAATAGTTAAAAGTACGTTTTGTGTTAAAAATGCATATAACTCGTCTTTTTTCTTAAAAAAATCAATTATTTTATTAATATTTATTATTTTTTTGTGACAATAATTTTTTACGTCATTTAGAAAATTTCCTATTAAACTTTTAAATTTTTTTAATGTCAAAAGAGATATCATTTAAAAAATTAAGAATTTTGATAACAAGCTAACTTTATAAATTCATCGACGATTGTACGGTAATCGAATGCATAAATCTTCTATATTCTCTCGAAACTCATTTCGAGAACTATGTCATAGACACATTGAATGATCTAAATGAATATCGAAAATAATTAAACGTACATCAAACGTGTGCATTAAAAGATGCGTATAATTCGTCTTTCTTCTTAGAAGAAATCAATTATTTATTAATGTTTATTATTTTTTCACAACAATTTTTATAAAAAGAATATTATACGCTATGACGTCAACTATTTTTTTTTTTTTGGACGTAAAAATTCAAATAAGACAAAACAGCATCAATAAATGGGGTTCATGTCAAGACCAAAAATTAGAGCCTGTTTGGGCTCGATTTTTTCATCCAAAAAATTGATTTTTTGACCGTTATTTCACTATTCCAGCCATCATATTTGACTTCTTCTCTCACAGATGGACCTCATTTTTCTCCTAACGGTCAAAAAATCAATTCTCAAAATCACTCCCAAATAGGCTCTTAGTAACTTTTGAGTCCACCTTTTTTGGACTACATATTTGCTCTATTTTCTCTTGTACATGTCACGGACCAAGACTCTCTATCCTTTTTTATAATTTTTTTTCCAACTTTTGAGCCCACCTTTTGGGACTATTTGACTACATATTTGCTCTATATTCTCTTGTATATGTCACGGAGCAAGTATTTAAAGTACGTATATCCTCTTTCAGTCACTTGGGACCCACAAGTAAGGGGGGTAGGTAAAAAATTTCGACTGAAAACTCTCTCACACAGAGACAAAAAATGGAAAAGATGATGGAAATATCCATATTACCCTTTTTTTCCACAGTTGACCTCTTTATTGAACAGTCCATTTAAGAGTTAGATGAGAAAGGAAAATACGTTTCAAATGAACAGTACTCGTAGTAGTGATATGGTAGAATTTTCCACGAGGACATAGGAAAACTTACCAGTTTAACTTGCTATTTTTGAAAACTTTTGAGGCTAACTTGACACTGGAGGAATATATTGAGACCGACACTGCAATTTTACCGACAAAAATGTTCTTCACAAAACCCGCAAACTAGCGAGCTTCAACGGTTGCGGATTTGTTGGCAGATTGAGGAATCACAAAGTCAGTAGCACTGATTTCTAGTCAAAGAAAAAATTATCGAAAACAAAGCGAATTGCTAGCAATTGAGAAAGATGTCGACGGTGTATGTATTGGAGCCGCCGACGAAGGGGAAGGTGATAATTACGACGTCGTATGGCCCGTTAGACATCGAGCTGTGGCCAAAAGAGGCGCCTAAAGCGGCTCGGAATTTCATCCAGCTCTGCCTTGAGGGTTACTATAACAACACCATATTCCACCGTGTCATCAAATCGTTCCTTGTACAGGGAGGTGACCCCACCGGCACAGGCGAAGGTAATGCAATTTGTGCTAAATTTTTTTTCCATATTTATGCATCATACATATTTACACGTGTGTCTCTGTGTATCCGCATGCATTACAGAATTCCGAAGATCCGTGCTCTGAATAAACTGCAACTATATTTGAGAGTTCATTGGTGGTTTGGTTTAACAGTTTGTGGTTTTCTTCGGCAATAGCAGTTCACTTATTAAGAAAATGGATTAACACTAGGAATTAGAATTCTGAACTTGTTATTCTGGTGCTTTGAGTTGAAAGTGGTACATTTTTCACAGGCATTAAGTATGAATATCTTTATGTGTGCATAATTAGTTTATTCTTATTGGTAATGGCGAAGAAAAAAATGCTGCATAAATTGTTCGATTTTGCGGGGTGTGGGGATTGTAGAAGTAAAACTGAAAATTGAAAATCATGCCAGGTAAAAATTGGGCAGGGAAATTTTTTTTTTTCCTTTGGCCAAATGGCGAGTTAATTTTTCTCCTGTAGTGCTGTCAAATGTATTTGAGAGTCTTCTTATCTGGTATCATGCAATGAAAAGAGTGGTCGTCTAGGCACAGTGTGCAGTATTGATTTAATATTTCTAATGCATATGTTCCATTGCCGTTTGTATTCAGGCGGTGAAAGTATTTATGGTGAGGTATTTGCCGATGAATTCCATTCTCGTCTAAGATTCAAACACAGGGGTTTGGTTGCATGTGCTGGTGCTAGCTCACCAAACTCAAATGGAAGTCAATTCTTCGTGACATTGGATCGTTGTGATTGGCTTGACAAGAAGCATACAATTTTTGGAAAAGTAAGTACGTTCATATTTGTCAGGAACAAGACTTTTTTCATCGTTTCTAAAAAATTCTTTAACTGCAATGTTGGAGTTGACGTCACAAAAATTTTTGTTTATAGGTAACTGGAGATTCAATATATAATCTCTTAAGGCTAGGTGAGATAGAGACTGACAAAGATGACCGGCCATTGGATCCGCCAAAAATATTATCAGTTGAGGTACTAAAGTTTCTGCTTGTGTTGGAATATTTATACATCAGTGTTTGTTTTCGTGAATATCTAGTCGCACTTCTCAATGTGTAAAACATTCTGTTAATTTGCATAGGCATAGCCCATGCAGAATGGAATTTTGTTCCATGTCGAAGGAATCAACTGAAATTATCCTTTTTTTGATACATTTGAAGTTAATGTACTCACCATAGTGTTAATAGGCTGTTCCCATTTGTTGGGTGGGGGGGATATAGTGATTGGTTGTC